AGTGAGACTGTCTAAAAAAAAAAATGTTAAAGATGTAACTCCATTGTCTTCTGGCCTGAATGGTTTCTGATAAGAAGTCTGTTTTTCTCATCTCTGCTTCTTTTTTTTTTAGAAACAGAGTCTCACTTTCCTTCCCTTGGTAGAGTGCCGTTGCATCACAGCTCACAGCAACCTCCAGCTCCTGGGCTTAGGCGATTCTCCTGCCTCCCGAGCAGCTGGGACTACAGGTGCCAGCCACAACACCCGGCTATTTTTTGTTGCAGTTCGGCCGGGGCCGGGTTTGAACCCACCACCCTTGGTATTTGGGGCCGGCGCCCTGCTCACTGAACCACAGGCGCCACCCTCATCTCTGCTTGTTATTTGTAAGGTATACTTTTTCTCTGTTTGCCACTAATACTTTCTTAGCATTGTCCGTTTTGAGCTGTTAGTCAATAATGTGCCTAGTTTTGTGTTTTAAATCCTGCTTCAGTATTGTGAAGTTCTTGGATCTGGGTGAAATATTTTATTACTTTTGGAAAATTCTCAGCCATTATCTCTTTAAGTATCTTTTCTTCCCATTTGCTCTCTCTTCTGCACCTCAGATTCCCAATTATGCAAATATTAGACCCTATAATGTTGTCAAATTGTTACTCTGTTTTCTTCACATCTTGTCTGTATTTTAGTTTGGGTTAATTTCAGTTGTCTTATATTCAAGTTCTCTGACACTTTTCTCAGCTGTGTTGAGCTAATTCATCCTTCAAAAGCAAAAACATGATAAATTTTCTTTCTAGAATTTCCCATTTGGCTACTATATTCCACTGAACTGCCCCATCTATTGAAGCATGTTGTCTGCCCTTTTCACTACAGCCCTTAGCACATCAGTTATGTAAAATTCTCTGATAATTCCAAAATACGGTCGTCTGTGTGTGTGTGTGTGAGACAGAGCCTCAAGCTGTCACCTGTGGCATCACAGCTTACAGCAACCTCCAACTCCCGGGCTTAAGTGATTCTCCTGCCTCAGCCTCCCAATTAGTTGGGACTACAGGTGCCCGCCACAACGCCCAGCTATTTTTTGGTTGTAGTTGTCATTGCTGTTTGGCAGGCCCAGGCTGGATTCGAATCTGCCAGCTCTGGTGTATGTAGCTGGTGCCTTAGCTGCTTGAGCTATAGGCGCCGAGCCCATCTCTGTGTTTTTATTAATTGGTCTGCTGTCTCTTGGCAGCTCATCCACACTTTTTATTTTTTCTTAATCAAATGACAGCTAATGTATATAGAATAGTAGACATTGAAGTAAATAGTTTTGTTTTCTGGCTGGACATATCTGTTCTTCTAGGATGTTAGGGTGGAGAATTGAATTGCTCTACTCAGAAATTAGGTTTTGTTGCAATATTTATCTTACTGTACCACTGGCTTCAAATTTCTCTATTGTTATTATGCCTTGTGCTTAGAGTGGAAGGTTGAGTACCAGAGAATTTTTCTCAGTGTCCCAGCTCAATACATGGCTTTTGGTCATCCACGTGCTCCTGTGCCACAGGATTATCTGCCCATGTTCTTCCCTCTACCCAGGGTAGTCTATTGTCACTAGAACTAGGGAAGCCTCTTTGTAGGATGTGGTTGTCTTGGTTAGTCTCAGTCTTTTTTTTTTTTGAGACAGAGTCTCACTATGTCACCCTCAGTAGAGTGTTGTGGCATCACAGCTCACAGCAACCTCAAACTCTTGGGCTTAAGCGATTCTCTTGCCTCAGCCTCCTGAGTAGCAGGGACTCCAGGTGCCCACCACAACACCCAGCTTTTCTTTTTGCTATTGTCATTGCTGTTTAGCTGGCCTGGGCTGGGTTCAAACCCACCAGCCTCGGTGTATGTGGCCAGTGCTGTAAACACTGTGCTATGGGCGCCGAGCCATAGTCTCAGTCTTCCAAGAGGAGATTGGAAGGCCAAAATTCTATTCATTTTGGGAAGCCAGAACTTTGCACAGTAACATGAGACAGAATCTCTTTTCCCTCAGCTGTGAACAAAAAAGTAGATGATAACGCCATATTGTGAGCAAGCTGAAGATTAGAGTTCGCACAGAAGGACAGAAGTGAGAGAATCAGAGAAAAGCATTGTAAGTCACCTGTCTCACCCAGACAAGTCCTACCCTATCTGTGTCTTATCATTTATATGAACTAAAAAAAATTGGTTTAAGCAATACTGAAGTTTCTGATCCTTATAACTAAAAGCATCCTTCATGAGCTCTCATGATCTTTCCTTGTGATAACAGGAACAAATGCATTAGAAGCCCTGGTTTTCTGATGATACTGTGCAATTTGAACCAGCACCTCGGAAGCCAGGTTAAGCCAGTGCTTTGGTCATTCTATTCACCCAACAGGGGCAAATCTGACAGAAAAATATGTGATGCATTAATTTCTACTACTGGATTCCAGTAGCATATCCGAGGCTACGTGAACTTTGAGGCCAAAGAAATTTCACACAAAGTTGTAAACAGCTAATCCTCAAAAAATCCAGAAAATTGCTGGGCTCAGTGCCTCATGCTTGTAATCCTAGTACTCTGGGAGGGTGAGCCAAGTAGATTGCCTGAGCTCAGGAGTTTCAGGCCAGCCTAAGAGCAAGACCCCCATCTCTAAAAATAGCCCAGCACTGTGTCGGCGCCTGTAGTCCCAGCTACTTGGGGAGGCTGTGGCAAGAGGATTGCTTGAGCCCAAGAGTTTGAGATTGCTATGAGCTATGATGCCATAATACTTTTCTGAGGACGACAAAGACTGTCTCAAGAAAAAAAAATCCAGAAAAATTAAAAAATTAATGACAGAAATTTTATTCTTTAATTTTAGCCATAATGCCAAATAATTAAATATAATGAGAAGAAATCATATAATGAGTTCTTAAGTACAAGGAATAATATTCCAATAGTTGATCATTTCTTTGGTAAAACTGGCAAATGTTCATTACATTTTTAAACCAAGTACAAAAATGAAAAAAAAGCCCCCCTGTATATATAATGAGTTATCTTTCACACACTGTCTATGAGCATGTATTTGAACATATATGTAAATGCTTAAATTAACTCGGTATCATGAAAGTAGAATTCACATTTTCAATAAATATGCATGACCATTTATTATCATTTCTTACTTATTCCATACTTTCTGTAGCTCCATAATGTATGAAAATATAGAAATAGCCAAATTCCTATTGATGGACATTTATTTCCAGTTTAAAAAATTGATATTGTACAATTCTTCCTCATTATAAAAATTAGTTATACATTCTTATTTCCATCTGCAAATTTTACTTTCTGATATTAAATATTTTTATATATATTGGATGACAAGCATGTATTTTTTACTGTCACTAACAAAACACATTGCTTTTAAAGACAGAGACTAGCAAGTAAATGACAACACTATCCTAATCATCAATGTATTTGATAAAATGTGTAGAAAAATTCAAGACTTTTCCCCTTTTTTTTTTTTTTTGAGACAGAGCCTCAAGCTCTCGCCCTGGGTAGAGTGCTATGGCGTCGAAGCTCACAGCAACCTCCAACTCCTGGCTTAAGTGATTCTTTTGTCTCAGCCTACTGAGTAGCTGGGACTACAAGCGCCGACCACAGTGCCGGCTATCTTTTTGGTTGTAGTTGTCATTGTTGTTTGGCAGGCCCAGGCCAGATTCGAACCTGCCAGCTCTGGTGTATGTGGCTGGCGCCTTAGCCACTTGAGCTACAGGTGCCACCCAAGACTTTTCCCTTTTTGTGTGAGTATGGGGCTGGAGAACTTGACAAAATTAAAGTCCTTCAAACTTGTCAGAAACTTTTCCTAAGGAGATTTGGATTGGACAAATCCAAACTGACTTAGCAATCGGTCAGATCAAATAGACTTTGATAGAAACACAGAGAGTAAAAAACCAAGTACTGTAATTTTTTTGACATTTATTAAAAAGTATTTGCTATCAGTAACCATTTCTGACACTTTCCAAATATTACAGTAAAACTCTGCCTTAATAGCAGAGTAGAAAATTCAATTATGTTAAATACAGTGTTTCATTTTTCCAAAGTTAACCAGGAGCATTATTAGTTTGTACTGTCATTTAAAGTGCACACTTGTGTGCATATACATGCACACATAAACTTCAACTGATAGTATACGGTACAGAGGCCAAATGTTAAGAAATTCAGCACATCGGCCAGGCATAGTGGCTCATGCCTATAAACCTAGCACTCCGGGAGGCAGAGGCGGGTGGATTGCCTGAGTTCACAGGTTCAAGACCAGCCTGAGCAAGTTTGAGACTCCCGCCTCTAAAAATAGCCAGGTGTTGTGGTGGGACACCTGGAGTCCCAGCTACTCAGGAGCCTGAGACAAGAGAATTGCCTGAGTTCAAGAGTTTGAGGTTGCTGCAAGCTATGATGCCATGGCACTCTACCGAGTGTGACAAAGTGAGATTCTGTCTCAAAACAAACAAAAAAAAATTTAGCACATCCCTGCTCAAGGTGGTACATAGGATGGGACCCAATTCCAATAAGGTTACAACCAAATTCACGTTATTTCAGATTGTAATACCGTTTGATGTTCTACATTTCAAGTAAATACGTATTACTTGAAATGACTTTATTAAGATTACTTAAAATTTTCAACATTTACATACTTTTTACTCATTTAGCAAAAAGTACTGAGCACCTACACTTAGTTCTGAAATGTTGTTTTGTAGACTTGCTGGTTTATAAAACCCTATCTACTATGCAAAGATTGATGTTAATGTTCTGACAAGAATCCCTATGGAACCCTCTGACCATTATGAATGTTGAAGTTGGCAGAAACATTACATTTTCTTTTCTTGCTGACAGCAAACGCCAGCCCTTGAGCTTAGGCAATTCTCTTGCCTCAGCCTCCCGAATAGCTGGGACTACAGGCGCCCACCACAACGCCCAGCTATTTTTTGTTGCAGTTTGGCCAGGGCCGGGTTCAAACCCACCACCCTCAGTATATGGGGCCAGCACCCTACTCACTGAGCCACAGGCACTGCCCCATTACATTTTCATTTTTACAAGATTATTTTACCATTTAAAATACTCTAGTGACTAGAAAATGTCAGCTCCTACTTAATGACTTCAAAACAAAACAGAATCTTCATTTCTGTGTAGATTCTCTGCTGAAGGGTAATCCTTACCATACACTTCACTTTTATAGAATTTATCACCACTATGGACTCTTTGATGAATTAGAAGACCTGAGCTCCAACGAAAACCCTTACCACATGCATCACATTTGTATGGTTTCTCTCCTGTGTGAACTCGCTGATGAGCTTGAAGATTTGACCTCTGACTGAAGCCCTTTCCACATACCTCACATTTGTATGGTTTCTCCCCAGTGTGGACTCTATGGTGGGCTTGAAGACTTGAATACCCACTGAAACCTTTACCACACTGTTCACATTTATAGGGTCTCCCTTCTGCATGAACTCTCTGATGTGCTTGAAGGCGTGAACTCTCACTAAAGCCCTTTGTACACACTTCACATTTATATGGTTTCCCTCCTGTGTGTACCCTCTGATGTGCTTCAAGGCGTGAACTTTGACTAAAGCCTTTTCCACACATCTCACATTTATATGGTTTCACTCTAGTGTGCACTCTCTGATGACCTTGAAGATAGGCTCTCTGACTGAAGCCTTTCCCACATACCTCACATATATATGGTCTCTCTCCAGAGTGGACACTCTGATGACTTTGAAGATATGATCTCTGACTGAAGCTCTTACCACACTCATCACATTGGTATGGCTTTTCCCCTGTGTGGACTCTCTGATGGGCCAAAAGAGTTGAGGCCTTACTGAAGCCTTTACCACATTCTCCACATTTATAGGGTTTTTCTCCTGTGTGAACTCTCTGATGAATCTGAAGATTAAAGCTCCAACTGAACCCTTTCCCACACTCATCACATTTGAATGGTTTTTCTCCAGTGTGGACTCTCTGATGGCCTTGAAGGTGTGAACTCCTACTGAAGCCCTTACCACACTCCTCACACTTGTATGGTTTTTCTCCAGTGTGAACTCTCTGATGGCCTTGAAGGTATGAATTCCGACTGAAACCCTTCCCACATTCCTCACATTTGTATGGTTTTTCTCCAGTGTGGACTCTCTGATGGGCTTGAAGGTATGAACTCCGGCTGAATCCCTTATCACACTCTTCACATTTGTAAGGCTTCTCTCCTGTGTGGACTCTCTGATGAACATTAAGAACTGATCTATGACTGAAGCTTTTGCCACATGCATTGCATTTGTATGGCTTCTGTCCAGTGTGAACTCTCTGATGATCTTTAAATTTTGTACTCCAGTTGAAGACATTCCCACACTCCTTGTAAGTTTTCTCTCCAATGTTAATTTTCTGATGGCCTTGAAGATACAAATTTCGACTGAAGTTGTTACTCCAGACATAATGTTTATAGGGTTGTTCCCTATTGTGGACTATCTGAAGATCTTGAAAATGTGAGGCTAGATTGAAGCCATTACCATACTCCTCAGAATTATAGGGATTCCCTTTCATGTGAACGCTATGTTGAATGCTAAGATTTGAACCACAAATGAAACCCTTCCCATACTCTATACTTGTGTAGAGTTTCTCTTTAGTGTGAATTTTCTCATGGACTTGAAGACATGAATTCTCATTAAAGACATTCCCACTCTCCTCATATTCAGGGGGTTCCTCTCTAGTTTCAAATCTAAAAACACTATTAGGGTCTAAGCTATGATTAAAGGCTTTTTCATAAATATTGCACCTATAGGACATCTCCCCTGTGTGGGTAAGTTCATACGTATTAACAGAGGAGTATTGATTTAAATTCTCACCATATTCACTATATTTACGTGGTTTCTTCTCTGTATGCTCTCTGTGATGGGACTGCAGATGTGAGCTCTCAACATCATCTTCTCTCTGAATATTCTGATGAATATGAAGAACTGAACTATTCCTATAGAACTGTCTACATGGACCGTATGTATAGGGCTTTTTAGCCAACTGAAACTGCTGATGAACTTCAGAGCAGGAGTTATTACTGAAGGCTTTTCTATACTCAGTGCAGGGGAAGGGATTTTGCCTCATGTGAATTGAGTCCTGATTAAGTAAGGATACCTTCATGGCATCTTCTCCACAGTCATGACAGCTGTAATTTTTTTCTTTTCTGTGGACTCCTAGATTATCTTTGTGACGTGAGATCCAACTGATGCTGTTACACTTACAGAAATTATTTTTTATGAAAATGTGCTGACATTTACACTGACAATTACATGACTGTGTCAGATACATCTTCCTCCAACAATGTTGGGCCCTCCAAGAAGGAAGCTCTCGATTTTTTATATAATTAGAACCATCTTCTATATGAGTTAATGTATAGTTCTCATCTTCAGAAATATGAATTGGTATTCCTGCCTGAACCTGGCAGAGGGAATCACCTTGTTCTCGTAACTGGAAATTCTTTTCTTGAAAAATTTTCATGGAATCTTGACACCTGATTAACCCATCGGCACCTTGTTGCCAAGGACAGGAAGAAAGCTCTTTGGGAGATAGGCAGCTTAATCGCACTTCTTGAATACTCTCCATCTTTTGTTGATTCTTGTTTCCTTTAAGGATAAAGAGAATTCAGACATACATACAAGTGAATGCTTTATTTGGAGATTTCAAGATTTTGCACTTAGGTCATAAAATGAAACTTGAATGAATCAAAAGAAAATTCATGTCACTAATTCTAAGAATTCTTAGAAAATGCCTCTTCTTTGGCTATATGACGTATGGGTTGAGTACCCCTAATTCAACTATCTAAAATCTCCAACTTTTTGAGGGCACTAGACTCCAGCCTGGGCAACACAGCAAGAATTCATCTCAAAAGAGTTCTTGAGTAATATCTTATCTATAAGCCCCATCCTATCCTCAATTTAAGAAAAAGGTAAAAAGAGGTAGCGCTAGTAGCTCAGTTGGCAGGGCACCAGCCATATACACCAAGGGTGGTGGGTTTGAAGCCGGCCCCAGCCAAATAGCCGGGCTTTGTGGCAGGCACCTGTAGTCCCAGGTACTTGGGAGGCTGTGGCAAGAAAATTGCTTAAGCCCAAGAGTTTGAGAGTTTGAGGTTGCTGTGAGCTGTGATGCCACAGCACTCTACCGAGGGCAACATAATGAGACTCTTTTCTCAAAAAAAAAAAAAAAAAAAAGAAAAGAAAAAGAAAGAAAAAAGAAAAGTTCATACTGATGACTCTGTGTTATTAGGCTCTGGGGCTTTAATTGTGGGATAACACTTGAAGGTATATCCGTAACTACTCAGCTTGGTAATTTTAAGAGATGTTTAGTTGGCTTGGCACCCATAGCACAGTGGTTACAGCGCCGGCCACATGCACAGAGGCTGGCAGGTTCGTACCTGGCCTGGGCCAGCTAAACAACAATAACAACTGCAACAACAACAACAACAAAAAATAGCCAGGTGTTGTGGCGGGTGCCTGTAGTCCCAGCTACTTAGGAGGCTAAGGCAGGAGAATTGCTTAAGCCCAAGAGCTTGAGGTTGTTGTGAGCTGTGATGCCACACGGCACTCTACAGAGGGTGACATAGTGAGACTCTGTCTCAAAAAAAAAAAAAAAAGAGAGAGATGTTTAGTGATGTCTCTGGCTTCTCAAAAGGAAAACTTTCAGTTTTTACAATAATATAACATAGGAGGCATGTCAGATAAACTATATGAGAAGTTTGGGCTACTAAACAGAGCTAATCATAACGTTTATAGTTTTGAGTATGATCAAAACCATCCAACATAAATCCATATATAAACAGTAGAACCTCCATAGCTGACCACCTCCTTATATTGAGCACCTCCCTAATTTGACCTAATTTTCATAGATCAGACATGCACTACGTGTACATATCAGTACAGCAGGCCTAGTTCCATATGTTGATCACCTCCATATGTTGACCAGTTTGTTAAAGTCCCTTGAGTGGTCAACTTACAGAGGGTCTAACTGACAAGTCTGAGGGGCAGCAATGGGCAATGCCACTAGAAAAGATGGAACAAGCAAAAGTAAGTGAATGTTGAAAATTAAAGGGAGTTGAGGGGACAGGTACCTCTGAAGTACTTTGAATTGACTAGGTGTGAAATTGGGAGCCACTGGAGAGTTTAAACAGAGAAGTGACATGTTCTGACTGGTATTCTAGAAGGGAGTCTCTGGCTGCTGTCTTCCCGCTACACAGTTCTCACCTGAACACCCATCTCTTAGGGTTTCTGTTTCCACCACCAGAAGATTTTCTTCTTTCTCCAACTGGGCTATTAGATCTGGTTTGAAGGGCTGATGTGCTATAAAAGAAAAGAAAGGAAAGCAAAAGGTTTTAAGTTTGATGGTGTCTACTTTGTCCCAATTTGTCAAAACTTGACCAAGTGTGGCTCTCTCTTATATTCCTTCTACCCTAGTACTTCTCACCACTCTAAGAAACTAGCTTCATGATTTTCCTTCTTTTTTTCTTTGAGATAGACTCTCACTCTGTCACCCTGGGTAAAGTGCCATGGCATCATAGCTCACAGCAACCACAAATTCCTGGGTTCAAGTGATCTCTTCCCTTAGCCTCCTGAGTAGCTGGGACTGCAGGTGCCTACCACCATGCTTGACTAATTTTCCTATTTTTAGTAGAGATAGGCTTTCGTTCCTGTTCATATTTGTCTCACTCAAACTCCTCAGCTAAAGCAATCCACCGGCCTAGGCCTCCCGGAGTGCTGGGATTACAGGTATGAGCCATCACACCCAGCCTGTGATTTTCTGATTAATCCTTCCTTCCTGTATTTCTCCTTACAAAGATAAGCAGATACATAAATTCTGTGTTAGGTACTCATTCTCCCTTCTTTCTCCCATGAATTGTAGTAGACTAGTAATACTCTTGCACTATCTTTGGATTCCTAGAAATGGACTATCTTTAGGGAAAATTCCTAGAAACGGATTGCTAGGGTAGGGTAAATACCTAACTGTGTTACATATTGTCAAATTCCCCTCCGTAGGGGTTGTAGCATTTTCCATTATTTCTTTCAATGTATGAAAATGCTATATTTGCCACAGCTTTGCCAAAACTAGGTATAGTGTTAAGTTTTTGAATTTTGTCAAACTCATGGGTGAAAAATGATAATTCAGTAGAATTTTAATTGGTATTTCTCTTATTTTTAATGAAACTTAACACTATGCATATGTATACATATTTAAATGTGTGTATGTGTATGTACATGAATACATCTGCATACACAAATACATCCCTCCTAGCTATATCTCCTGAGACCAAGAAACAAAGACCTAGCATCCAGACTTTGATGTGCAATACCATTCCCTGATATAAGCAAAGGATAATTCCAGAGAGCAGCAGAAGATGAGCAGAGAACATCATACATTGCCATAAAGTAAGAAAGTGCTCACAGAAAAGAAAAAAAGATTGGGGGCAGGTTACAAGGGCACAGAGCCAGCTCAAAGGACCCAAATTTGAGGTAACATTACCATCAAAATAATGACAGTAATAAATTGTAAACCATTTCATTTTATTATTATTTTTTTGAGACAGAGTCTCAAGCTGTTACCCTGGGTAGAAAGCTGTGGTGTCACAGCTCACAGCAACCTCAAACTCTTGGGCTTAAGTAATTCTTTTACCTCTGCTTCAGCCTCCCAAGTAGCTAGGATTACAGGCACCTACCACAATGCCCGGCTATTTTTTGGTTCCAGTTGTCATTGTTGTTTGGCAGGCCCGGGCTGGATTCAATCCTGCCAGCTCCAGTGTAGGTGGCTGGCTCCCTAGCTGCTGAGCTACAGGTGCCGAGCCAACTGTAAACCATTTTAGAAAAAGAGTTCATGGCCAGGCATGAGAGATAAATGGCCATCATGTGCCTCCAGATGCAATTCCCTCGCAAGGATACTCTACCTGTGTAGTGTTACCACTTGCAGGGATCATCTGAACTTAATTCTGAGGAAGCATTAGTAATACTCTGTTAAAAATAGGGGGAGGGACGACAATACCCTTATAAAAAAAATCACTGTTGGGTGGCGCCTGTGGCTCAAAGAAGTAGGGCACTAGCCCCATATGCCAGAGGTGGTGGGTTCAAACCCAGTCCCTGCCAAAAACTGCAAAAAAAAAAAAAAAAAAAGTCAGTCTTCATGACAAAGAAATGCCATGGAAATGTCCTAAATGAGAGAAGGCTAACGAGACATGGCAACCAGACTAGACTGTAGACTAGATCCTGTTCTGGAGAGAGAAAAATATGCTTTAAGAAATATAAGTGCAGCAGCACCTGTGGTTCAGTGGGTAGGGCACCGGCCCCATATACTGAAGGTGGCAGGTTCAAAGCTGGCCCTGGCCAGCTAAAACAGCAGTGGCAACTGAAACAAAAAATAGCTGGGCGTTGTAGCAGGCACCTGTGGTCCTAGCTACTTGGGAAGCTGAGGCAAGAGAATCACTCAAGCCCAAGAGCTGGAGGTTGCTGTGAGCTGTGATGCCACAGCACTCTACTCAGGGTGACACAGTAAGACTCTGTCTCAAAAAAAAAAAAAAAATATATATATATATATATATATACACACACACACATATAAAAAGTGGGCCTCTTGGCCTACTTGTCCTGGCAATGGAGGCCCATTCACTTTCTGTGGTGAATGAATCCTGTTCTGTAAGCCTATATCTTGCTCTTACTCTGTAAATCCTTCTCTTCCTCAATAAACTTTGTTACATGCTTGCTTTAAAAAATATATAAGTGGGTGGCGCCTGTGGCTCAGTGAGTAGGGTCCCTATCCCATATACTGAGGGTGGCAAGTTCAAACCCAGCCCCAGCCAAACTGCAACAAAAATAGCCGGGTGTTATGGTGGGTGCCTGTGGTCCCAGCTATTAGGGAGGCTGAGGCAAGAGATTCACCTAAGCCCAGGAGTTGGAGGTTGCTGTGAGCTGTGACGCCATAGCACTCTATAGAGGGTGACAAAGTAAAACTGCCTTAAGATCTTAAAAAAAAAAGTGATTTCATAATTAAAATGAGAGTATAAGTCATAGATTAGACAAAAGTACATGTATTATAGCTGTACTGGGGACATGTGAGAGAAAATTCCTTTTTTTACAAAATAAACTGTGCAGGAAAAGATTAACCTTGTCCAAACAGAGGTCTGGCTTTTGCCCTTAGTTGCTGAGGGTAATCTTTAAGTCCCTGGACTATCCTGCCTGATAACAGCATCTTCTGTTTACCAAAGAAGCCTTGGGCCACGCCACATAGTTAAACAATGTGATTTATAACGGGGGCTTTAAGCCATGTGGTATCATCATAACTTCTGGAGGGGTGGAGTCTCACATCAGGCACCCAGGTGGTCAACCATATCCAAATGACCAAGCTCCAATAAAAACTCTGGACACCAAGAGTCAGGCTGGCAATACTCCAAGTGTATTGTCATACATCATTGCTGGGAAGAATAAATCCTGTAATGACTCGACTGGAGAGAGACGTTTAGGCTTGGAATTCTCCTGGACTCCACCCTATGGGCCTCTTCTCTTGGTTGATTTTGGTTGATTTTAATATGTTTCCTTTCCTTGAAATAACCACCATGAGAATAACAGCTTTCAGTGGTTGAGAACCACTGATTAAGAGAGAAAGGACCATAGTTTATGTAAATTACCCTCAAGTGGTTTAGACAAAATATACATATACATATATTTTCATATACACATAAATAAACCTGGAGAAAGAACATAAGTGCAAATATAAGGCAAATGGGGTAAAATGTTATTAGCAGTGAATCAAGGTACAAAGCTATGTGGGTGTTCTTGTTCTTTTACTTTTGCAAATTTACTGTAAGCTTAAAGTTATTTACAAATACATTGTTAAAGAAAAAACAAAAGTGCCTCCAAAAAGTCAAAATAAGGCCAGGCATGGTGGCTCATGCCTATGACCCTAGCACTCTGGGAGGCCAAGGTAGGTGGATTGCCTGTGCTCAGGAGTTCGAGACCAACCTGAGCAAGACTGAGACCCTGTCTCCACTAAAAATAGAAAAACTAGCCAGCATTGTGGTGGGTGCTTATAGTCCTAAAGTCCCAGCTACTTGGGAGGCTGAGGCAAGAGGATTGCTTGAGCATAAGTTTGAGGTTACTATGAACTATGATGCCATGGCAGTCAAATAAACAAATCTAAAAAACAAAGTCAAGGTTTTTCTTTTTTTTTTTTTTTTCTTGAGACAGAGTCTCACTTTGTCACCCTCGGTAGAGTGTTGTGGCATCATAGCTCATAGCAACCGCAAACTCTTGCTCAGGGCTGGTCTTGAACCTGTAAGCTCAGGCAATCCACCTGCCTTGGCCTCCCAGAGTGTTAGGGTTACAGGCATGAGCCACTGCGCCCAGCAAAAAGTCAAGTTAGTGAACAGTTACTGGGGCCTTGAAAAACAAAAAAGCTGGATGTAGGGCATGGTGGTTCACACCTGTAATCCCAGAACCTTGAGAAGCCAAGGTAGGAGGAGGAGTGAACTCTTAAGGCCAGGAGTTCAAGACCAGCCTGGGAAACAGTGAGCTCCTATCCTCACAAAAAATAAAAAACTAGCTGAACATAGTGGCATGTGTCTGTAATCCTAGCTACTCAGGAGGCTGAGGGCAGAAGGATCACTTGAGCCTGGGAAGTCATGGTTACAGGAGCTATAACAGCATTCCTCCAGCCTGGAAGACAGAGTGAGACCTTTTCTAAGAAAAAAAAGTTGAGCAAATTAATAAACTGGATTGATGACAAACCAATGGAGCAGGACCACCATTTGCCCATTTTACGATTGAAAAGGAAGGACAAACTTTTGCCTGGAGAGAATCATCAGAAACATCTTGTCTCTGTTGTACAGGTAGGACTTCTGAAATCATTTTTAGATTTTTGAACAACTGAGTCATAGTTTCAAACAATTGAGCACAAAGACACTCCAGGAGGCTGCCACTGAGTTACAAAGGGCACCTGTTCTCACCCACTAGGAGCAGGTTCTTGAAATTCTCCAGCATCACATCTCGGTACAGCCTCCTCTGCGCAGAATCCAGTAGCCCCAGCTCCTCCTCTGTGAAGACCACAGCCACGTCCTTGAATGTCACCATCTCCTACAATACCAAACACATGCAGACTATGACGGCGGGGCAGCACTGAGATGTAAAGGATAGGAATCTATTCTGGACTTGGAGGGACTTGAGTCAAATTTAAGTAGCTGCCTTCTTTTTGCCTTCCATACTGCTAATTCCATCCACCAAAAGGGCCGTAAGAGAAAAAAAATCCTTGCACTTCAAATTGTTATCGTTTGTTAGTACTCATATAGGTAAGCTCCTGGAACTCTGTTGCATCCTGGGTTACTAATACTTTAAATTTTGCCAATAATGACATTTTCTCCACAAAAGTTCTAGTTTCGGCTCGGCACCTGTGGCTCAAATGGCTAAATCCAGCCCAGGCCTGTCAAACAACAATGACGGCTGCAACCAAAAAATAGCCAGGCGTTGTAGCAAGTGCCTGTGGTCCCAGCTACTTGGGAAGCAGAGGCAGGAGACTCGCTTGAGCCCAGGAGTTGGAGGTTGCCGTGGGCTATGATGCCATAGCACTCTACCCAGGGGGACAGCTTGAGGCTCTGTCTCAGAAAAAAAAAAAGTTCTAGTTTTGACAGTATCTGATGGCATCCCTTTCCCATTTTACTCATTCATACACATCACATAGTTGCCAAACTTACAGGCTATTAGTCACTCTTATTGCTCAAGTAGGTAAGTCACCCTCTGTGCCACATCTGAGGACTCCAGTGTGGTGGTGGGCACCACTCTGGAGCCTGACTGCCTGTGTCCACATCTGGATGCTCTTGCCCTGTGCTAGCTGTGTGATCTGGGACAGGTTTCTTCTCTTTTTTTTCTTTGAGACAGTCTCACTTTGTTGCCCTCAGTGGAGTGCCATGGCACCACAGCTCACAGCACCTCACTCTTGGGCTTAAGTGATTCTCTTGCCTCAGCTTCCTGAGTGGCTGGGACTACAGATGCCCGCCAAAACGCCCAGCTATTTTTAGAGAGTAGGTCTTATTCTGGCTCAGACTGGTCTTAAATTCATGAGCTCAGGCAATCCACCCACCTTACACGTGTGAATCACCACACCCAGCCTTTGGGACAGGTTTCTTATCCTCTGTTTTACATGCAGAAGCCTATACCACAGGGTTCTTGTAAGAAAATGAGCAACCACATGTAAACCATTTAGCAACAGTGCCTAGCACGTAGTAAGTACTCAGTAAACATTAGCTGCATTATTAATATTTTCATCTTGCCTTTTATCTCATTTCAGGGCTGCACAGTAATTCAAAGAATTGATGATCTGGAATAGCATGAACTCATTTAATTAATGCCCATTTAGTTTCTTGTTACCTATTATAAACAATGTTGCAAAAACATATGCCCAGGGTAGTGGGTTCGAACCCATGCTGGCCAAACTGCAACAAAAAAATAGCCAGATGTTGTGGCAGGTGCCTGTAGTCCCAGCTACTCTGGAGGCTGAGGCAAGAGAATTGCTTAAACCCAGGAGTTTGAGGTTGCTGTGAGCTGTGATATCATAGCACTCTACCCAGGGCCACAGCTTGAGGCTCTGTTAAAAAAAAGAAAAATATCAAAAATGTAGAAATGGTAATGTTGAAAAATAATGTACTTTAGTTTTGAAATCATAATGGTATTTCCCCCAAAAAAGATTTTTCCAACTTGGTCTACATCTGGCCAATAGTGGACATAAATACTTAAACACACACATACTTTGACAATCTCAGAAGCAAATTTGAGAAGTAAAAACCAATTTTTTTTTGAGACACAGTCTCAAGTTGTTGCCCTGGGTAGAGTGCCGTGGCATCTCAGCTCATAGCAACCTCCAACTCTTGGGCTTAAACGATTCTCTTGCCTCAGACTCCAAGTACCTGGGACAACAGGCACCCGCCACAATGCCTGGCTATTTTTTGGTTGCAGTTGTCATTGTTTGCTAGGCCCAGGCTGGATACAAACCCATCATCTCTGGGGTATATGGCTGGTGCCCTAGCTGCTGGGGTATATGGCTGCTACAAGCGCCATAAAAACTAATTTTTAAATAATTCATTTTGTAGACCCTGAGGTCTCTTCTTCCATGTAGACTCTTATAACATTTTGCTGTGGGAAAATTTAAAATTTTTATATGAAGACCTTTCAATACTGCATGGTTCTAGCTAGAGTTCAGAGTACCAAAATCTCAGCTCTGAATGAAGAACTCTGGTTTGGTTTGGTTTGCTTTTTTGTCTGTCTTTCCACTCAAATAGTACACTTGAAACTCTTGACCCAAAAGGCTTTGGAGTTGGCCAGAAACTTATCTTTCTGTATGAATATAGACCTCTTATCTTTATCCTAACAGTGCAAATGATTCCAAGGTCCCCCTCAAACAGTCCATTTGCGACCACAACTAGTATGACATATAGAAAGTGCCTGCATGTCCTATGGTATGACTTAAACTTTTAAATCAAGTACCTGTATTGCTCTAATAAAATTATACATGAATAATGAAACTCACAAAGAGACACAGACACATAGAAAGCCTCAAATACTCGGGAAAAAGAACCTAGCTCATACTGTATAAAAACATCTATTTCCGGGTGGCACCTGTGGCTCAGTGAGTAGGGTGCTGGCCCTATATACCGAGGGTGGCGGGTTCAAACCTGACCCCGGCCAAACTGCAACCAAAAAATAGCCGGGCCCTGTGGCAGGCGCCTGTAGTACCAGCTACCTGGGAGGCTGAGGCAAGAGAATCGCCTAAGACAGACAGCTGGAGGTTGCTGTAAGCTGTGATGCCATGGCACTCTACTGAGGGCGACGAAGTGAGACTCTGTCTCTAAAAATAAATAAACAAATAAATAAAAACCCATCTATTCCCCCCCCCCAATATGATCCTGTTAGACAAAACTATAGTTTAGGTATTCTTTTTACAAAAAACCTGTAGTATCACTTATAGGAATTTTTTTTTTTTTTTTTTCAGTTTTCGGCCCCTAGAACATTCAAGACATATAATTTCACAATTCTCTCAGAATTTCTTTTTGAGAAAAGATTGTATATAGGAAACTGATACTATAATATAAAACTGTAAGAACCTTCAGGAGCTTAAAAACTTATGTGTGGGGGGAATAACTTAAAGAAAAGGAGGAGGAGGGTTAACAACAGTTCACTGAAATAATATTAGACAATAAAAATTAAGTGCTATTGACCAGGCAAGGTGGCTCACACTTAAAATCCTAGCACTCTGGGAGGCCGAGGCAGGTGGATTGCCTGGGCTCATAGGTTTAAAACCAACCTGAGCAAGAGTGAGACCCCATCTCTAAAAAGAGCTGAGCATTGTGGGGGGCATCTGTAGTCTCAGCTACTTGGGAGGCTGAGGCAAGAGAATCGCTTGAGCACAAGAGTTTCAGGTTACTGTGAGCTGTGATATCATGCTCTCTACTGAGGGTGCCAGACTGAGACTCTGTCTCAAAAAAAAAA